AAGAATTTTAGTTAAGTTTGAGTCCTCATCAAACCTAACCCTTAGGATCTCCTTCTTCAACCCAAACACATCTTGCGCAGCCACAAACATGCCTCCAGTATTTTTGTCAAACTCTAAATGCTTATCAAAAGCACCCTCGGAAACTCTAAGTCTAACATTTCCTCTAGTAACCTTCACCAACCGCCCACAAACCGCTGATTAGTAATGAAAAGCTATCTTCTTACCCTTGTGGAGAATAGGACGTCCCTGACTTTCCCTTGCATCTCTAATGTGATCAACTACTTGTTTCCCACGAATCTTAATGGCACTCAAACGGGTTATGTTATGTCCACCAAGATTATTACAAGTTACCACCACATATGTCCCAATGGGTCTGCCTTCCTGTAAGGACTGCTGCAATTTCGGTTGCTATCTAAAAACTGATTTCATTCTCCCATAACGTTATGTAGCCCCCTCACAACCCTTTTGAGAACTAAGATTGTCATTCTTCTTTGTAACTCCTCCTTTTCCAAGACCCAAATGTAGATTTCTGCTCACTGTAAAAGAATCCATAATAGCTCCACATGTTATTGTATTCCCTTAGATAATATACAAGTTACCCACTTTGTTTCCCTGTAACACCACAAGAGAACCCATCATGACCCTCAAAACTCCACCCTCTGTTACAACCTTGTAACCTTTGGAGTCTAGCACACCTACTGAAATAAGGTTCTTTTTTAGATCTGGTACATGTCGCATACCTGACAATGTTCTCACCAACCCATTATGCGTCTTGATCTTGATTGTTCCAATTCTTGAAATTTTGGAGTCTTTTCCCACCGCCGTCAAAATAGAACCACATTTCACCTCTTTGTAAGAGGAGAAAAAATCCATACTGGGACACATATGAACAGAACAACCCGAATCAGGAATCCAACTGTCATTAAATGACATACCTGAACACGAAGTTGCCAAGAGAACATAATCATCATATTCCGAATCACTCGTTGTAGCAGCTACCACGGAATCTGCCTCTTGAACCTCCTAGTTGCCATTCCTATTCTTTGCCTTCAGTTTGGGACATTGCATAATGATGTACCCTAACTCATGACAGTAGTAACATTTTTCGTCCTTGTAATTCCTTGATTTGGACCTAGAGCTATTTGAATTTGAGCCTCGATTTTCTGTCTTCCCCCTTGCAGCTAAGACCGTGGCCTCTCCGTCTCTGTTAATCTCCAACACTTTTCTCTGATTCTCATGAGAGAAAAGTGTTGATTTGACCTTATCCAAGACTACAGTCTTCTTCACATATAACATAATAGTCACCAAGTGATCATACCTCGTGGGAAGAGAAGCCAAGAGAACCGAGACTTTATCTTCATCATCCAATTTTACCTGCATGTTTAATAGTTCTGAGAGAAGCCTATTAAACTCGTTGAGATGATCTTGCATCATAGAACAATCTTTAATGCTGAAACGGTATAACTCTTTCATGAGATTGATCCGATTTGTAAGCAACTTTTCCAAATTAAGTTTTTTAAGCTTCTCCCAAATCTCCTTTGCTGATGTCTCTATCATCACGTTTTGTTAGATCTCTTTTGAAAAACATAATCGGATCGTAAAACAAGCTTCCATAGAGAGTTTCTCACATTCGTCTTTTTTCGCTGGATCAGGATTATCATCCAAGGTTTTTATCAAACCTTTCTTAACAAAAATATCCTTCACCTCAACTTGCCACATCCTAAAGTTTTTCTTTCCATTAAATTTCTCAACTTCATATCTCATGGATTTGGAAGCCATCCCAAAAGACCCTAGTTTGCAACCTAGGCTCTGATACCACTTGTGGGGCACAGCGAAAGCTCCTGATACCAATATGTTAGGCAGAAATAGAAACCCAAACAAATATACACACAATGGTGGCAAATCATATAGCAACAAGATATGAATAAAGATGGAAAAAAAAAAAAAAAAAAAAAAAAAAACACTCCACAAGACAAGATTTATACGTGGTTCACCCTCACAAATAAGGCAACGTCCACAGGCAATATGATACGTATCACTATATAAAAGAAGATTATAAATTAAAGAACGTTTTAGTTCTTCCAGGAAATAATCACTCTTCTCATAATCAAACATCACCCACCAAACAAAGAAAAGCTCACCGAACGCTCTCAAGAAAAAATTCCAAATAATTATTCGGACTCTATCCTCTTGATCAGAATATCTCTCTGAAGGATCTCACAGGGATCACCGAAGGTTCACACTTCTTTCGTTACATCTCATGCCTAATTTATAGGACAAAGTTGCACCCATTAGATAGCTGACTTATTGCTGGCACAAATAAATTTATTCCTTATCAATTTCTTCCCTTAAAGTTTGATTTCCTTAAAGTTTGCTTATTACCTTATCAAACCCTTAACTTGCGCATTAAGTCATCTATACGACCAAACAGTTGACTACCATAATTGCATCATTCAACCAATGAAATTATGCCAAAATTCAATCAATGAAATTCTGCCAAAATCCCAACAAACGCATTTCAGCGATGGTTTTCGGTGGTTCAATAACGGCATTGACAAACATAACTCTTTGGATGACGTAGTTTCAAGATGTTACTTTAAGTAAGTGATGTAGTGTTTTTAAGACCTTAGATATGTCTAATAGGATACTTGTCAACTTCTTATTAATTCATCTTATGATAACTTAGACAAAATCAACTTAGAGGATCCAATATATTATTAGTTTAGCCATATACAGGGGCAGAGCCTGGATTGTAAAGTAAGGGGGGTTAAAAATAATTAAACATATGATTGCTTAGTGTGTCATCCATGCTATAAATACAGAATTCTCATGCATCAGTCATTCAATTAAACCTAATATAATCTACAACCTTCTAACACATTTACACTTCCAAACTCTAAGGTATTTTCACAGTCAAGAATCCACTGAAATATATTTCATACAAGTATTAAGATAAACTCTTGCAAGAATGCAAGATATATATGTTCCTTATCAATAAATTCACATTAGAAGGTAAAACCTATGTGTTTCGCCCCTGACTAGTTATTAATTTATTATATAGTAAATTACCCAATTTAACAAGAAACCATCAAGTCATCAACAAAGCTTTTGTCTTTTTTTTTTCACTAATTTAACAATAATAAAACATGATATCCATCCACCTATACCTTAGTGCCTTACATACTAAGAGTTTAGGTCTTTTTCTATAGACCAACAATATGTTTGGTTTGTTGGATTAGACCCTGTTATGTTTTATTATGGTTTTTTTTTTTTTTTTTTTTGTTGTGATTGGGCATGTCCATTGTTCGTAGACTTGCTCATATTTAAGGCTTGGCCTTTGTAAATTTTATAACTCCTTTTATTTATAAAAATACTATGGATTGGGTTGGGCTGACAGGAAGAGAAAAAATAGTACATTAACTTATAGGAATAATAGTACTGATTTTTTTTTTTTTATTATTAGACCTGGGCTATGGCCCAAGTTAGCCCATTACTAATCCAGTAGTCCCTCCCCTGGCCATATATATATATTTTCTATAAAATATGTTTCATTCCTTCTTCTCCCTTTTTTCTTGTTTTTTGCCCACACTTGCACATTTCAAATGCAGACCCTAGGATGATTAGGGTTTTTTTTCTACGTATTTCTTACACTCTCATTCTTTCCTCTTCCCCTAAATTTTCTTAATCTTTACCAAAAATTTAAGATTTTGAAGGATGATCAAATTTGTGAAACAAATAATAATATTAACTTCAATTTTGAAAAGCAATTTTAAAGTGATGGAATTGTGCTATCTCACGTAGCAAAGAAACGTTCTCTTATGTTTTAAGTAAGCAAAGTATCCATTTTTTTTTTCCCCTCCAAGTATCAAATACTTGGCCGTCTTAAGACGTGCACAACGTTCCTTTGTTACCAAGATAGCACTGGTCTTATAAATTGAAGTTAATGTATAATAGTGTTAATTCTTTCACCACTCTTTCTCTCTCCTCATTTTTTTTTTTTCTTCCTTCCTTAAGGTTTCTCTCCTCTCGTCTGGCTAATTCCTCTCTTTTTCCTCTCTTTTTTTTATTTTTCCAACTAAAGATCCCAAACAAATATGATCATCCGTCAAATTCTTTAATTTTTAGAAAAAGTTGAGAAAATTAGGGGAAAAAGAAAAAATGAGTGTAATAAATACCTAAGAAGCAAAACCCTAATCATGCTATCCCTCTGTATTTAAATTTTTTTCTCTTTCATAAATTTATTGTTGTACCCACCTTTGAATTAGAGTTTGCTCACCCCACCTCTTGGTTCATCACCTTTATCCATTAAAAAATGGGCGGAAGAGAGAAGGAAAGACTAGTGACATATTACAAAAGTTTTAAATTAAAAACTATCCTCAATTATACTCTCTACAAGTTTTAAATTACAATACTATCTTTTATAAATTACAATATTATAGATATAATGGTAAAAAAAAAAAAAAAATTAAAGTTTCTATTTCCTTTTCTCCTATAAATTTTGAGCTTATTTTCTTCTATTCCATCCAACAAAACAAAAAGAAAAAAAAGACACAATCTCTTCCCTTCTCTAGAATGTTTCATCAAGTATCAATCCTTTCTTCTCTCACTTCTAGTATGAAAGATGAATGTAATAATTTTTGTTACTGTTGTTTCTCAATTTTTTTTTTAGTACCAGGATTCTTCTACAATGGAAAATTGAAAACCAAATGTAATATATATTAGAGATAAATTGCTAATCCATTTTAATTCTAGAGAGGAAAAAGAAACCAAGAAACCAAGAAACCTGGTGGTCTTGAAGGAGAGTTAAAAACACCTAAAGCTTTTGTGTAATTCCCCTGAAAAAAATGAGGAAATCACTCAATTGTCTCTTTCAGCCAATTCTTTCCTCCAAAGTAGCGTAAACAAAGAGGAAGTACTCCTCTGCCAAAAGTTCCATGACATAAAGAAACCTTCTAAACACAGCATGCAGTCCCATGTCACATGCATGCAGGGGCAAAATAAGCATTGCAAAGCTGAAAATGGTTTATTTCAAATGCAATTCATCAGCAGCTCGGTAAATATCCATGGTTCACGTATAAAATAAAAATATAAAAAGACAGCACCATCTTTCTTTTTTAGCGCATCTCCATCCCGCAAAACTAGCCTAATTAGTACTCGTGGAGTAAGTACATGTTTCATATGTGCCTTTGAGATTGCGTTGGCCTGAACTTTAAAAGGCCTTTAGAGCAACACCACAAACACAGAGCAAATGGTGGCTTTAAAAGCTTCTGCTAATCTAAGAGCCTATGTATACAAAACAAAATATCAAAATATCACGATGACGTTATAACACCAGACTTCTAAAATAACAAATACATGGGATCATGCTTGTAAACCAAAAGCAAAGTCACTATACAGAGTTCAATTTACAGAATGCAATCTTATCATGACTTGTGATCTCTAACCCATGCACATTCCACCACTAAAAACCATCTTCACATTCTAACTGGTTTGGTTTGTGTACACAATGGCGAAGTACAGCCGAATAATCACCAAACTGAATGTCAGTAGGAGGGTGCAGATAAAAAACGTAAGAGATAGGCTTTGATACCAACATCGGTTTTTTGGTGGTGACTTCATCAAACAACTTTCCGAAGCTTGATTCATCAAATGGAAATGACTCTTTAAGAAAAAAGAAGCTATCCCTGCCCAACTTTTCCACCTGAAACAAACAATAACAGCATTCTCAAATAAATAGCACATAATTCTCATGACCACCTTGGTTACAAATGCTGAAAGTAGTTCCCATAAATGGAAATAAGTGGTACAACAGTTCCTTGAAAGAACACAAGAAGAAGGCTATATAATGGTTATGTAATCTAGAGAAAAATCACTGTAGCACCAAATGTAATTATATAATTTCATTACCATAGAATGAAATAGGTTACTATTCTTCAGTTTTAATATTATGGTCTAGAAATTTAGGACTATTATATATCACTTGTTACTCAAAAAAGATGTGTGGCAAGCTAAGAAATATGGATAAGATAATCAATCTACTTGATTAGGACTTGGTTCCAAATCTATAATAAAGCTTTAAATGAACAAAAGATTAACTCCAATGATGAAATTCAAGATTGCTTACAGCCAATGATGGACCTAGGAATTTAAGAAGGCTTATAGCCAATTTCTTAGCTTGGCAGTGAGTTTGGAACCGATCTGAACCGTTCTTTCACAGTTCGGTTCGGTTTGGTTCCATGTGTCACCGGTTCCGGTTCCAATTTTCTAGGAACAGTTGGGAATGGTTCGGTTCCGAATTAGCATTGAACCGTACCGAACTAGACTGTGTGCACCCCTAACATTGACACAACAAATCATAAAAAAAAAATTAAGACATGAAGATACATGAAATTAATAAATATATCGTTTTATATACTTGGTCCTGTATTTTTTGTGGGGAAAAAAAAAAAAAAAAAAAAAGGTATTTTAACAGTTTTTTATATTCGGTACTGTATTTTAGTTGTCATACTATTTTTCACTAACCTCACAAAAAAATATTTACAAATTATTCGTTTATTGTTTAAAAAACTACACCATTGAATCTACTCTACAGCAACAAGAACAATTGTTTTTTAAGCCAAAATTTCTAAAATATTTTATGTCATGACTCACGACCATCATATTATAAAAAAATGTTCAAAGAAGTCGCCATATTTTCCACTTTAACCTTCTTTTTTTTAAATTTCCAAATTATGTGACACAATTGTCAGAAATGTGTCCATGGCATGTCTATACCATGTCCACAGCGTGTCTGGAAATTAAAAAAATTCTGGACTTGTATTGTGTCTTGTCTGACACATGCCAGGCCAACACTAGATTCTTTGACCTAAAGGTGAGTCCAGGCCTCCTAAATTACCATCGATGTGGAGAAATAGAGAGTGAAGATCGAAACAAGAGGGAGTCCAGTAGTTTACTTTCTTTTGGACCTAAAAATATTAGTGGGGGCAAGAATATATAGGAGGAATACGAGTGTGAGAGAGATAATTGATTACCATGAATGTTGGGCAGAAGAGAGTGAAAAAAACCAAAAAACCAGGAAAAAAAAAAAAACGAGAGAGAGATGATTGCTTTACTAACTTTTGGATTAAAAAAATAAAATTGGGAAAGAAAAAGAAGTGGGGTATTTTTAAAAATTGAGTGGGGGCATTTTTAAATTTTTAACAAAAAATATAGGTAGTAATATAAATAGGATGCCCCCACTAGCCCTTACTAGGTTCATGCCTGCTTATAGCAGCGCATCTTTCCTCACATAATCTCACTTGAAAAGCCTAACCTTATTACAAACAACCATGCATTATGCAAACTACCATCCACTCTAAAAGCTTAAGTTGTTAACTTTAATAATTAAATCCTCTAACACGCCCCCACACGTGGCCTTCTTTTGGTCCAACAAGTGTTTTCAATTTTAATTATCAGTGTGACGGTGAAGTTTGAAATCAGAACCTTTCATGCTCTGATACTATGTTACCAACCATCTACTCTAAAAGCTTAAATACACATTAAACATGTAAAAACATATGAAGGCTGGAAATGATGTGCTATTAATACCTGTAATTGAGAAAATCGGATATTATTTGTAGTAAGTATAACTTGCACTTCATTCAAGGCATCTGCTAATATCCGGACAGCTAGATACTTGAAGAAAGTTTGCACGACAGTTCTGTGTTCTTCCCAATTTTCACTGTAGCTATCAAACTTGGGAAACCATAAAACACACTTAACTTCATTCCAAGGGATCCCTGTTTTGGAGATGATTGTCTGGTAAGGATGAGAAAGACCCCAAAGAATTCTGACACCTGTCAGTGATGGGTCAAATGTGGAGCTATCTCGCAGACATGTTGTGGAAATCATGACTGATGGATCGCAGTGGCGAGCGAGATGTGCAGAGAAATGTAAATCTGTGTCGTCTAATAAAAGTATGCGTCCATCCGAAGACTTGGGAAACAACTGGAGAAGTGATGCAGCATCAGCTTCTCCGTCTTCTGGCAAGCATACACTTGACCCACTGCATGATGAAGCTGGAAGACTTGAATCATGAGAAAAGAAACATGAATCTCCATTTCGACAACCCTGCAGATGCAATTTGACCGACATTAGAAAAAATAGAAATTACCTACGAATACAACATCAAGGAAAAGCAGCGGCAGCAACAAGAACGACTACGACAATAGAGCATCAAAGAAGTGATTCAAGAATTAACAAGCCCTTATAGTTTTGCTGCATTTCATTAAACTGTACTCCTGATGCAACAAATACTAAATTCTTGAAGTTTCTGCCAAGCATTCAAGCACCAACCATGTACCAAAAAACTAACAAGATGAAGTTTCTGTCAATAATTCAAGCACCATATCCCACATCATGCACACAAAAAATGACAAGGTGAAGTTTCTATCAAGAATTCAAGCACAATATCATGAGCCATAAAGGAACAAGCAGACTAGGATGGAAGTAATTTTGAAAAATCTCAGTAAAATGGAATCAGTGAAGGATATATATTGATGGTAAGATTTTGCTTAGTGCTACCAATTATCAAATGCACATATGATAAGACTCTTAACAGAACCAGACCAGTTCATTGGAATAATAACCCATAAGAACTCCAATGGGCAAGCATTTGTAAGACAAAATGCCCATATGTTAAATATATAAGAAAAGAAAGAGATATACGACATCAAAGAAGCTTTTGGAATTGTTATTCAAGACGTCAAACATAAAACTTTCATGTGCAGCAGCAAGCAAGAATGGGTAATTCTATATTATGTATAGCTCTTTCAGGATGGTCTCCCCCGTTCACAGCAATGAGGTTGAAGAGTTTGAAGTTGAATAGAATTCCAAGGTAATTATCAATGCAATTAGTGACCCCTTCTTCACTAAGATGTTATCTGATAACTCATTTCTTAAGTGTGTTTGATAAAGCAAATTTAATATAACATTTAGAATAAGTTTCACTTAGAATTTTTAGTGAAGGACACCTCGCTTATACCGGACACTTGAAATTCAATAAATTTAGGGAGGTGCTATTTGCACTCCATAAAACGCCTCAAACGCACCACTCATGTTTCTTGATAAATGAAACGACAAAAATAACCTTTAACTACATCTTTAATCTCCCTCTCATCTCTCTCCTCTTTTCTACTACTTTCTCTCTCTACTTGCTATCGCTGTCTCTCTATCTTCACCTGGATCACTTTTATCTCCCTAAATAAATTGACAATGAATTAAACCAAATAAAAATCACCATCATATCAATTAGGAACAAAAAAAGATAGATGAGTTAGTCCAGATAAAACTAGGATGAACCAATGAACTTTAAACAAATAAGAAAAATTATTGAGAGATTTAGTGGAGAAGCAAACCCATCAGGTGTCCATCGGCATTGAGGATGAAGTTGAGGAAAGGAAGGAACACAGAGAAATAGGGGTAATAGGAAGCTCAAAGGTTTGTAATATTACATTCCGTAGTTCATTCAAAACCATGGAGTTTTAAGTTAAATAGGAAGTTTAGTGTTATATTTGTCATTCAATTATACAAAAGTGGGAATGGAGCACCTGGGGTCTTTCTTGGAGCGTGAATATCATGTCCCTTTTATTTAATGACTATTAAATTAAAATGTTCAATATCATATCATGATCCTATTTAATAGATCATATTGTTCAACTTTATAAAATACTTAACAAAATTCATAATACTATGCTCACTATTGACATTAATTGCATTTCGTGATTGATTCTAAATATTTATGATAAATGTGTAAGGTTTGAATGATTAAAGTTTTTAATTGTTTCAGATTTGTAATCATGTTTAATTTGGTTAATGCATATGCGTATGAATGGACTAATGAGCATTAATTTACTTGATCCTCCTCTTAGTTGATATATAAAAAATCCTATTTGTCTCGCATATATTGAATTGTTCTGATTGTACATCGATTTTTTATTGAATAAATTTGCAAATAGAGAAGATATATGCATGTTTATTTAGTTAAATCCATTGAATTGATGTGTTGAAAATTTTCCTTATTTTGATATTGACTAGTTTGTGTTGCACAATTTAATTATTCTTTATATACTTTAATATGCATTATTACATCCGGCTCACATCTTATATTACGCCTTGCGCTTAGGCTCTAGGAGACCTTTGGCGTCTTAGTGCACCTTGAGCCTTTAATACCTATGCCGTTGTCTAGGGGCCTCACCAATTACCCCCTCTAACTTGATTGGGCACTAAATACAAATTTGGCAGTTTTCAAATCAATGGTTTATCTATTATTTTAGACGGGTAAAATTCCTAAATATTTCAACATATTTCAATGATGTTGCCAATGGATATAGGGACAGAAAAAGTGACAGTCATAATTTACAGATTACAACTGAAGGATACTAAATAGTAAAGATACTCAATTGTTGTGGATAAAATGGTAGATTGCTTAAATATGTGTTAGTATATGATACGAAGTCCAAGCCCAAATTTGGAAGTTCTTGGTAAGCCAATTTAATTTAGTCTTGAGAGTATAATAAGAGCATGAGAGAGACTATTTAGTAGACCTGTGAGCACTCGACCTTGCAGTGGCATCCATTTAATCCTAATCATGAATGGAGCAAGCCACGTGAAATCTCTTTTTCCATTCTTTCCTATTATATAACATTTCACCAATACAATTTAATTTTTAAAATCAGTTTTAATTACTTCATCCCATGTCAACCAAATCAAAATTTTGAATAAAAACCTTAAAAAATTTTAATCACCTCTTCATCATCAAATTTTCCCCAGTAAAGAGACAAAATCTTAGAGAGAAACACAACCATCAATCTTAACAGTTAATTTCCATCAAGAAGTATAGAAAAGTATATACACACTTTACTACTAGCACAGATGGTACCTGGCTACAAGCCCATGGGGAGTAGTACTTAGTACGCTAAAGTGATCAAGGAAAACTAAATAAACTCCTTAAAAGAGTAGTAACTGGAGCCAGACAAGTACCTGGAAAGAAAAAAAGAATTTGCAAGCAGGTCTTTTTGCTTGAATTGAATGAGAAAACAAGCATTGGTTGCCCCTGTTGCACAAGCCACTGATAAAATATCTACATAAAGAAGCTTCCCCAGTGACATGAGGACCATCATCTCTAACGTCTTTGTGCTGATTGCTAGATTCGTCTTCCATATATTGAAGTCTTATCTATTAAACACGATGCACAAAAGGAAAGATCAATCTCAATGTCAAGAATAATTTACACCAGTAACCACAATACAATACCTCTTTGACTATAGTTGCCAACTTTTCAGCCACTTCACTTGCTTGAAAGTGATTGGAAGCAACAAAAGGTACAGCAATACATTTCCTAGTATCAGTAACAGGCTCAAGGTGTTCATCATCTGCATCTCTGTTTGGCTGAGAGTTGAGAAGGCATGTATGTTGAAATTCGTAAGGATCATAGAAAGATGGTAGACCATCAGCTTTAGCCAAAAATTTGGGCCGAAATCGATGAACTGAATTTAATACATCTTCATCTGCACAGGAAGATATTCACAATGAAGAGGAACATTAGAGTAGTAATAAAATAACACTGGAAGAACCATACATATTTCTGCGACATGGCGTAGCGATGACTGAACAAGATTGTGAAAAGAGCACCATTCTTCTTCTAACTGGGGGAGCAGTAGCTGTGCAGCTTCCATCCCATTAATGTTCAAAAGGTGTTTCAACTGTTCAAGACGGTGCTTATCCTTCAAAAGAGGAATTGAATAAATCATATAACATTCAGGAACAAATCATACACTCAAAATCTGTTGAAAAATACAATTCCCAGGGTATTCAAGGCTTCAAGCAGCTTTACCTTGAACATCCGCTGCCAAAATTGAAATGCACATAGATTCGCCATATATACCACTTCCTTTCTACCAGTTAGGGCAGTACCCTTATTATTATCTGTGCTGTAGTAGCACTCGATATACTCCTCAAACTGAAGACCATATTGAAAATTGACTAATCAGGAAAAAGAACTGAGCTATATAATATAATGATGAACATCCAGAACTGAACATTTTAATAAACAATACCAAAATTTCCTGTCCAAAGGGACGAAGAATAGGTAGAGGCTGTGTGTCCATCAATATACCCATCAAAATGCCTTCACGTAGCATTCCCATGTCTCCAAACTTGAGTATAAGCACAGAAGCATCAAATGATAACGAAAAGCTGGCAAGCAATCTTCCGTAGAATGTAGGTTCAAATCGGTTCCTATGAGATGTTTTTTCCAATGCATGGATGTGAGATAGCAAACTCAATGCACCTTCAACAACTTCTGGATCTGGAGGATCTAGAGCCTTCTGCAACAAGACTAACATGACAAAGAAGCGCCATAATTAGGAACGCTTTTCATTTTCATTCAGATAATCCTGAAATACAAGAACTTGGACAATTATTATAATACGGCAGACGACACTTCAAGCTTTCAAGTCTACTTAGCAAAACCGGAATAATTTGTCAGGTTCACATCTAGATGCCTATATATATATATATATATATATATATATATATATATGTTGACCTTAAGGATTTCATCCAAGGACAATCTAGTAATTTTGATGATTACAAACCATTAGTGGAGTTAAGGACTAAGGTTTACATTGAGTGATATAGATGATTCATATTCCCACGATGACCTCAATGAAGCAATAAAGATAATTCCAAGTATTCCATTGTTCAAAATCACATCAATGGAAAGCAATGTAAAAAAAAAAAAAGTTGCAAGGAACCAAATGCAAGTCCACTCAAAAATAGTTTGGACTACAATGAACAAGCAGGTAACTCAAAGGAAGAAAGCAAGAATTACTCAAAGCCTAAACGATCATGGACAAAGCTTGAAGAAATGGGTAGATAGCTTGGTGAGTGTTTAGGATTCAATGTTAAAGTATTTATGAATCCATTTGAAACTCATCTCTATAGGAACATGCATATCATTTATATCATTCATGAATCCTCATAAACATCAGCAATTGACTAAGAGCTTCATTACATAAAAATGATATATGAAGTCTTTGCTAAGAATGAGTTAGTTCAAACTCTCATAAGCTTTGAAACAACTCAACACTTGAGCTAGAAATACTAAGACCATGCACTTTAATCATATGACTTATATTGGTTTCTAGAAAGTAGAGTTTTAAGGCATTGAACATAATTATTCACTTCTAAGACCTTTGTTACCGTGAGTTGGTATAAAATTCTAGGACCCAACACACTTGATAAACATCATCTCAAATGGTCCCTAGACTCTTAGAAATAGGACTTGAACTTAATTAAACCATTCATCAAAGTCCTAGGTGCTAGAGAGATGGTAATTTCATAAGAAGCAATTTTCAGCACAGAAAATTTCCTGACCAGGCTGCACTAAAACTGCTATAACTATTTCAGTAGTTGGGAGTATTTAAGTGAGGCCAGTGGCATTGGAAAGCTGACTTCGAGCCCTTCAACTTGATCTCAAATTTCACCTAATTTGGATTTAAATTGACTGAGATATGACCATCATAAAAAGCAAGTTTCAGAACAACAAATTTCCTGACTAGGTTGCGCTAAAACTGCCATAACTATTTTTGTAGTTAGTTTTTGAGTGAGGTCAGTGCCATTAGAAAGCTAACTTCAAGCCAATAAATTTGAAATCAAATTTGACCCAATTTGGATTTATATTGACTGAGATATGGGCAATTGAAAATCAAATGAAGTGCAGGAACTAATGTAATCCATCAGATCACATCATGTAATCGATAAGATGACTAAAACAACAAGCATGTTGAATTGCAAAGTCATCTAACCGATCAGATAACTCATGTAATCGATCAGATCACTCATCTAATATGAAGTTCTAGAAGCATCCCAACGGCTATAATGACCATTTGACTTCATGGGAACTTACCATAATGCCCCCAAACGGCTATATTCATCAAAGGGCTATAAATTCACAATGTTTGGACATTGTGGGCGAAGAAAAGAACTTGAGAGATCCTACTGAGTGCATAAGAGTTTTTGTTCTTCACTTGTATTATCTTCTCTCATACATTTCATTCATAGAGTATTGAGCTTCATTTATATTCATATATACTCTAGTTATGAGCTTGATTTGCATATCAATCTTGGGAGATATTATTGTGCAACAAATTCTTTCAACAATCTATTGTAAGGGTTGGTGTGACTTTTTTTAGCAAAGGAAGAAAAAGCAAGTTCGCTTCAAATTGTAAGGGTTGGTGTGACCCAAGATTGGTGTGATCCAAAGGAAGTCTAAGGGAAGGTTGTTCTCTTAGCAAGGTCTTACTTCTTGTAAAGGTTTGCTCTCCACCCGTAAGGAGAAGCCATAGTGGATTTGGGAAAGTCTCAAGAGGGATTTTGAGCAAAGGAGTAGGAGTTTCCGAACCTCGCAAAAATCATCGTGTTATAGTTTGCAATTTCTCTTCCCTCATCTCTCTTATAATTGTGCTATTAATTGCTTACTTTCATATCTTATAATTGCATAATTGTGATAAGTAGTTTACTTGAAATTGCAATTCTATATAATCGAAAATTAGCCATTGTTTAACTAAGACTCTATTCAAACACCACCCCCACCCCCCCGGTAGAGTCATTTATTGGGTAACAATATATATATATATATATATATATATATATATATATATATATATTAATGGGCCAGCCTAGGCAAGGGGGGCTTTTTAGAAAAAAATAATAATAATTTGGGGGGGGCACTTTGTAATAATATACAAATTATATGCTATATATATATAATTTAATGGGCCATCTTGGGCTCAGGGGGAGCACGTGCCACCCTGGGCCCAAGCTGGCTCCGTCCATGTTCACATCTTCTCACTTGATCTTTTAGATCCTCCCAAATCTTTCGATGATGAGATAGTTGCCCATCATCCTATCCAGAAACCAAAAATATGGAAAATGCAGGGATCATAAATAACACAGTTGTTTGCTGATTAGAAAGAATCCATGAGACATACCAGATTCAATTATTATTATTCAACTTAGAGCTGAAACTCATAGGGGGTCAGTTGAGTTGATGCCAAAACGAAGGGCGACTGGAGAACTCAACAGGCTAGTGATATCCCAACCCAACTTCACCTCAAATAAAAGGAGCATGCTCAACACAAGTCCAGATTAGATAATAAAAATAAAAAGAAATCAAGCAGGATGGTCATGCTGCTGTGTTCGAATAAACTATTAACTTTTCGAGCAACTTTCAATAATTTGTTGTTTATCTATTGATGCCTCTGTTACGACCCTTGACCAGCTTTAAATTTTAAAATAGGAAAATCAATAGCAAAGACAAAGCTCTATAATGAAATGGACGGGCATAACATAAGATGCCCATAAGAGTTAAAATTAATTAAATTAGTGGTTCATGTCTTTATTTTATTATTATTTAACAAGGCAAGAAGTGTTAGAAGTTATATTAGTAGATGCAAAGAATCGAAGCCTGGCGCTCCAAAGTCCACCGAAGGAACCCACTGGGCTATCGAAGCATTTGCATGTCTTGATCATCGGTGAAAAAGATATTGTACTCTTTGAAAACTAATTAATCCAAAATTTGAATTTATTTCACGCTTTTATAAATAATAAATAAAAAGTCCACATGCTATATATGAGCACAATTCTAAAAGTCTATAGGTGGCGACGTGATGAATGACTTGTAAACGGTGATGAAATTTAGAACATGCAATAAATAGAGAAAGTGGCAGGAAACACTTGATTGTTTCAGTCATAGGGATGACATAGTATTTTAATTTCTTTTTTTTTGGATTACTTAACTAGGTTAGTGAATAAACGCAATGGAATAAATATACCAGAATACCTCTGGGGTCATTAATGGCTTTTGATTCAGCGCAACAAATCAGAAGTACTTGCTGTCTTAACGACAAGCTCAGTATCGCTGGGCACTCATACTCCTGTAGCTGATTGAAGAAAGATCCTGTAACCAATCGATAAATCTGGCCATCACAAGTCCGACCAGTTCTTCCCCTACGCTGCTCAGCCTACGGCACATAGCATTTAGCATATCTTCTCAAACAGGAAACCTAGGAACCACAAATAATTCCTCAATACCTGAGATTTTGAAACCCAGGTGAGCTCTGCAGAGTCATTCTTCCTAATACTATCCCAAAAAACTCGTAAAGAACGGCATGAATCAATGACAAATGCTACTTTTGGTATTGTCACTGAAGATTCTGCAATATTCGTGGCCAATATTACCTGCACCAGAAGAAACTTTCAGAGAATAGCCACGACCAAGTCAAGATGTAAAGGTCGTTATGCATTCTAGTTCATCAAGGCAGGGTATTGGGAAGGGTGGAGTGCAGACAGATCTAAACTTCTATATTATTTTGTATCAAAGCTGCCTTCTCACATTTACTAGGACGTATTTTGAAGAATTTATATGCTCAAAAAGATAAATAATTGATGTAAAAGATTGGCTAAATAAGATTTAAGAAAAAAAAAAAATTCATAGACACACTTGACGAGTCCCGGTACTCCTTTAATGTTCATTCACTGAATCTAGTGTCTACACTGCCCCGCCACTCCTTGCTTCTATAACATGAAATATTCACATTTATTATTTGTTCTTCTCTCTTGATACTTCCAAATAAAATAGAAAAAGCAACATTAAATCACTTAAGAAAGTAAGAATAGAAGAGTTTCCTTCTTGTTCACACAAACAGGCACATCGACATCATTTAGATTTTTTTTTCCCTTTTCCACCACCTCGTTTACAATTAACCATATCTAAAATCAAAACTAAATCTGAGTCAGTGAAAGTGGAGTAATAATAACTTTCAAAAAAAAAAACAAGAAGAAGTTGAGTAATAATATGCAATGTAAACACAAAGTGAAAAATGTTGTGCACCTACAAAATTGCGGAATCAATAGAAGGGAACCCCTAACCACATAACGCCATTCAAAAGAAAGAATATGGAAAATTCAAAGGCTTACCTTGCGATGGGACTTGCAGATTTTCATTGCCATGAAGGCTTGTTCAGTGTCGATACTGCTATGTAAAATGTGAATTTTGAAAAAAGAACTATGAGGCTTCAGAAGGAACCACTGCTGCACCAGTGAGTGGTATGTTGGAAGGAAAACCAAAATACTTTTTTCAATATCTGGCTCATGTTTATGAATGTGCATCACCAAATCATGTATAAGTGTGTGCACTTCGGACTTGATATCAGCTCCGGCCATGGAAGGGCTTGGCCCAGAACAATATTTCAAAGACAATAGCTCCGACTTTATTCCAAGAAGTTCGGTTACCTGTTCAGTCAACAGCTAACAATAATAACTGATAACTTATGCATGACAACAATATAATTACCATGAAGCTCACAAAGAGGACACCAACAAATGGAGCAATAAAGCACCGGTCTAGAAGTTGATTTTCTAAATATTGAAGCGTTAAAAGGAAGCAAAAGCATGATTCTTTTGTTAGTTCCTATTTTTACAAGGTAGAGATGCCGCACATTAAAATAAAAAAATAAAATAAAAAAGAATATTATCAATGACTATAAACTTATGTATTGTGCGTGAGACCCTAACATTATAGAAGGTGAATGTTAACATCAACTACGATAAGGGACATTTGCCTTACCAACAAGAACACAAGAATGCTCCCCTGCAAGGAGAATGAATAGAGGGCCTTTGTCTTCTACAGCTCTAATTTTTAAAATAGGTTAATCTTCTTCTTTATTACAGTCCAAAATCCTTCCATGAGTAAGCCATTCACTTGCTCTATGAATGACAAACAAAGATTTCAGTTTCAAGGTTTTCTTCCTTAATTGTTTGCTTATTATTAGGTTGTGTTAAATGTGGTGGAGGTTGAAATCATTGGCATCCCTGGTCACTGAAGGAAGTGGCATGGGATTTAAATTGACAACGGTGTTGCCAGAAGCAATATGTTTATTATCGGATAAGACAGTGGTAATGGAACCAACAGACAACGTAGCATAATTTGGACCCCTTGTTGGTTGGTTTGGATTGAATATTCACCCTTTGAAGGCGGATCAGGGATTTCACCAATAAACCCGCGTGATGAATCATCAGCAACATCCTCTTCCCTTTTCTGTTGCTGTTTTGATTGTAATCCTCCAGAGGCACAGGAGACATGAATAGCTACTAACATGAGTTTAAGAGACGGCACAGGAGAACATTTTCGTGAACAGAAAAAATGGGAATGTTGCTAGTGTTTATCGCTGTAGGGGATGTCGGCAATCCCCTTGTAAATAGGATTTACCTGTTCAAGATATGAAACTCTTCGCTGATAAATTGTATGCTGACCAGCACTGGGGATTGCAAGCACTTCTACTCTTTCACCCCGACCAAGATCCTTGAAGTAATCTCTATATCTTGCAATATCAGCGGTAGCAGACATCAATACTACCCTGAAAAAAATATTCAAAAAAACTATTACATCCATGAGAAATAGCCAGCTATGGCCCCATGATTTCAACTAAGATGCATGGCATGCAAGTGGTTAAGCCCTCCCTCTTGTAGTTTCAAACAGACAAAAATAAGTAAAAAATCACACATGTGCAAAGTGATAAAGAAAAAAATTGTGAACTAGGGGGAATGAGATGTTTTGACCTCAGGTCATTGTTCTTAAGCAAAAACTGCTTCACACAAACAAGAACAAGATCAGACTCTACAGATCTTTCGTGCACTTCATCGAGAATGATAACCTTGTACTTGAGCGCATTCAAACCCTTCTCCCGCATCTCATCTAACAAAACTCCAGCAGTTTTGAAGACAATCTTTGATCTGCAGCACAATATTTTTACAAGGGGTAGAACATAAGCAGCTGGGCTAGTTGTAAAACATACACAAGTAAAATAATAATGACAGTAATTAAAGAGAAAATGAAAATGTTTCAGGACAATTTTGATTCAGACTAAGAATAGCCAAAGGCCCAAAGCCACTGGAGGGAGACAGAGACAGAGGGAGGGAATAGGAAAATATGACCTCTGTTATCTACAAGATTATAGCTTACGCCAAAATGTTAAACCCCTGCAAGTAGTCAATCAACACAACATTGGTCCTACCAAAGTGCCAATAGATGAGCTAACTCGATCTCTCCAAAAATAGCGACGAATCCTATATCATGTGAATAGGCACCATAATCATGCCATAGTGCCAACAACACATTGAAAGATGCAATACGTGCCAATTCAAATCAATGTGAGAAGACAAAGAAAAATAACAGCCTCTATCAAAACAGAGGCACATACACTCTGAAAACGTATATAGAGATTGAAAGATGAGGATTCTTTGGCATTTGACCAAGCTTATAAGCAAGCAGGTCAAGTAAGAACGGACTATTCAAGCCTCCTCTCCAACACATCCCCACCTACAAACAAAAAAATTGGGGGGGAGGAGCAAATTCAGGAAAACCCCACCGTGTGCAAAATCTAGAAAACCCCTTAGAGAAGTACGTGATAATATAACAGCCTCTAACAGAAGCATTCCATTCTTGCCAGCACAGGAAAGGCAAACAAGAGTGAAATACTATATCCCTGTCAATATAAAAATTTGTAAATGTTTACAAGTCAAAATCAGAATATGCAGACAACGAATTCAACTAATCCCTAGCGCCGAAGGTGATGCAAATAAAAAATTCCATGAACGGAGAAGGAACAACTCACACAATTTACAAGTGACGGCATGAAGCTTAAACCTGTATAAGGACTAGGATCCTTAACAGTGTATTGGCTAGAATATACCTTTCTGATAGGACCTTTGAGTGGCCTATGTGGTATCCAACCTCGCCCCCAACTTCACAATGACGAGCTTTTGCTACCATTCTAGCAACCGCTACAACAGCGAATCTCCTTGGCTGTGTACATAATATGGGTTTCATGTTTTCTTGTAGAAGAAATTGTGGAACTTGAGAGCTCTTCCCTAAACAATCAGAACAAGGGGAAAAAAATTATATTCAAGAAAATCATACAAATCAAGAAATATAGGTTTTATCACCACATAACAAGTAAATCTATAGAATGCAAAATTTAATATCAAAAAGTCAGAATGTGATAAAATTATTAAGTAGATTAAGACAATCAAATGCAACATCACCCAAGAGAACCAAACAACTTCAAGATGACATCATTCAATACTCTTGTTATGTCTAACAATACAACATAGACAATTAAGCTGAGTTCCTCACAACCAATTTAAAATTGAAACACCAAAATTACCTGAAAAAGATTCAAAGCAAATAGACAACCTTCTTTAGCATGAAATTATTTAGTTTTAGATGATCAGAAATTAAAGAAGACAAAAAGAATACTCAAAACCATATAACTTTGAAAACTATAAATCAACTCAAAAATCCCCCTAGTCTCTCCTTTCTTGAAAACAGATACTAGAAAACTATTTTTCCTTTCTTTCTTATTTCCTCTTTTTCTTCAGCTCCCTTGCCAAGGGAAACATAGCGAGAAAGAATGAAATACATACCATTGTTTAGGCACTCAAATCAAACCAAATATCTCTATATATGAACTGGAGAGATAAAGAGTCACAAACAGTTCTAAATTAATTCAAACCCTAAAAACAGAACCATTGGATAAAGAATTATAAATCTACCCATTGTTTCGACACAAAAAACAAAACAAAACAAAACAAAAAGAAATTTCGAGTAAAAAATTACCTTTTGTTGGTATTAGATCATTTGATTTTAGATTCTTGGAAGATAAATCGGAAGTGTTGAAAACCTGTTTTCAGTTCATTTAATTCCCATGAAAACCAAAAATCAACGCAGAAATCCTTGTAATTTCTCGTTTCTTGGTGGAACTAAACGCTAAATAATATTTTTATCTTTTCTTCTTTTTTTTTCTCGCATTTGTTGTTCAGTGATCAACAAATAATGAAAATAATCGGAGAAAGAATGAGAAATGTAGCCGTGTTTCTCCACTCAAATCAAACAAAAAGTAATTGACAAGTAAATACAGAGTAGATGAAGAGAGTGTGTGTTTGTATGTGTGGAAGTACCACAGCCAGTTTCGCCGACTATCAAAGTGACGCGATTATCTTGAATCTTCTCAACGATTTTATCTCTGAGAGACATTACAGGAAGACCAGAGAACTTCGACGAAGAAGCGAACGGTGACGAATTCGAAGAGTAACTGGACGAAGTCGGAGATGATGATGACCCCATTGTCGAAACCCTCGCCTCACTCCTTTCCTCTTCTCTCTCTATATTACGATTACAAAAAATCGCTCTCTGTGTCCCCACTCTCTCCCGCCTAGTACTACGTTATTTCCTCAAAAGGTGTTTGTTTATACTCTGACACAGAGACGCGGTCGCGTAGACTTGAGGACAAGACTTGACCTCATGGTATATTTAGAGTCAATCAAGGTGACTTCTCCTTGCTTGGGCCAATCATGTGCGATGGTTTACTGTCAATACTATACGAGCATTTACTTGGTTACTAAGTTAGAATTTGTGGATCCCCACCTCACTTGTATTTTTTTTATCTTTTCCGACTGGTTTTTTTGTTACTCAAACTGAACTTTTATTTTACTCACTTTTATTTCTCTGCTTTCTATTTTGAAACCAAAAAAAGATTTTATTTTGTTATCCAATAAATAATAATTAATCCATTCCTCTTATTATCATTACTTTTCTCTTTTCTTTTTTCTGACAAAATTTTCGTTTATCGAGATAGTCATTTTTATATAATAATTATTACCTCAATCTCATATTAGTAATACACTTGTTCATTGTAAGATTTTTTAATTAGTTGTTAATGTTGATAAGTCAAATAAAACAAAATTCTTTACTTATTTACTCTTTTAATTTTTCAAAAATAAATAATTTAATATTATATACATTTAAAGTTAAAAAAAAATTAATAATTTTAAAAAGGTGGAATGTCTTTCTACTGCACTTTCAACCCGGGAAACATTTGTACTCTAGTACTGTCTTTGGTGTGCAAGAATGAAATGGAATACAAGTGGTAATGAAATGAAAATGAAAATGAAATGGAATGACCATTCTCATTCTATTGTTTTATTGTAAATATGAAATGTGTAGGAATGTAATGATAATAACCATTCAACTGTTTGGTTTGACCAATTTAGAATTTATAATGGAATAAATTTCAAATTAAATTATTCAAAATATCTCTTTTAGTAACAAATAAATTAAATTAACAAAATGGTATTCTCTAATAATTTTTTAAAATAAATGGTGGCAATGGCGGTGGTGGATAGTGGTGGAGGTGGAAAGCGATAGTGGTGTAGGTAGTGATGTTGAAAGGCAGTGGCGATGGCGATGGTGGAAGACGGTGGAAGGCGGCAGTGGTGTTGGTGGAAGCGGTGGCAGTAATGTGGCGGTTGTTGTCGAAGGAGATAATGGTCGTGGTGAAAACCAGTGGATGTGATTGTGGTGGAAGGCAGTGGAGGTAGCGGTAGTGGAAGGTGGTGGTGGTGGTGGTGGAAATTGTTGACGATGGTGGTGGTGGAAGGTGTGTTGGGGATAATTAACTCCCTCCAACCCACTCAACGGTCCGCTGTTGTTGAGAGTTAAATCCCTCATTCATCACAACCAGCGAAAGTATCATCACATCACATCAACACAAGTATATATGGAGATAACAATCATACACATCCACGCACAACACAATATTTTACATGATTCAACCAACTCTAGGGTTACGTCCACGGAAGAGAGATATTTCACTATTATGAATCAAGGAAAATAATATACAACTACATGTCAAAACTCTACTCACTTACTCATCATCTCTTTTGAGGCTACATGTATACACTCGGGGATTACATATACTCTCCCATTTCCTCACAATGCTAACCCTTAAACCCCTTACATCTTTTCTCTATCTCTAAACCTCTTACACCCTTCTCTATTTGTAGAGTCTTCTGTAATGACCCGGTCATTTTCCTTCATTTATTTTTTCTCAAATTTTACGGATAAATTTTTTTCCGTTTAATTTTCTTTTCTGACTTCTGTTTCTTGTCACTTGGTGTCATCTCAAGTGCTTGGAAATGGTTTTCAAGACTCTTTTGTTTGGATTAACAATTTTCTTTAACGACCGAGTCATTTTCATATTTTTCGTTTTTCGACACTATTCACTTTTCATCATTTTTCCTATTTCGTCTTTTCCCCGTTTGTCACTTTTTGGCACAACCTCACTTTTCGTGCTCAGAGTTGGTTTTCGACTTCACGTGTCTTCATCCTAAGTGGTTTCCACGAAATACATATCTTTACTTTTGCAATAAAGTACTCTGGTTACTCCCAGTGTCTATAGGGGCGTGGATGCATAGTTTTTCAGAATCTTTTTATTTTCTTGGGGTGTTTTTCATAAATATCTTTTGAAGATATTTTATTTCAGGGGTTTTTAAGAAATTATTTTTGGAAGATATTTTCATTCTGGGAAGTTGTGCAGTTTTCACTTTTTGGAGGGGCCATTGTGCAATTAACGAAAGTTATTGCAAAAATACTTCTTTTTGAGCCTGGATCCTCGTACGGGATTCATTTTCACTTTTCGTCGACTCGTGTACTCATAGAATTCTTTTTTTGTCGTTTTTCTCCAGTTTCAGGGTTTATGGCCCCGGTTGCCGCCGAATAGAAGGAGATCATCAACAAAACAGAGATGAGTGATCTTATTTGCCTTGCATCTCCAATGATACTTAAAGTGGCTATCCTAAGTAACAAGCTTATTGATGATGGAGTCCAACACATCCATCACAATCACAAAAAGAAAAGGTGAAATGGGATCACCTTGTTTTAATCCTTTAATACCTTTGAAGTACCCAGCTAACTTTTCATTAATAGAGATAGAGAAAGATGGAGATGAGATGTATGCTAAAACCCACTGGACAAATACTCTGGGGAATTGCAGGATTGTGAGGAATTTAATAATGAACTTCCAGTTAACAGAGTCATAGGCCTTATGGAGGTCAATCTTCAGAGAACACTTAGAGGAGCCAACACTAGGATGATATCCTTTCAGTAGTTCTTGGACAATAAAAATCCTATCACCAATTATTCTATGTTTTATGAAGGCAGTTTGGTATTTACCCAAAATGAAAGGTAGCACAGGTTGGATCTTCTCAGCAATGAGTTTGGAAATAACTTTAGCGTTACAACAAACTATAGGCCTGTAATCATTCATAGAAGAATGATTAACAACTTTAGGAACAAGAGCAAGGTAAATGGAGTTTACCTCCTTGAGAAGTTGGCCATTGAGAAAGAACTCCTTCACAGCCATAGAAACATCATTGCCAACAATAGGCCACACTTTCTTGAAAAATAAAGCATTATACCCATCAGGTCCAGGGGACTTTGTGCTATTTAAAGAAAAAAAACAGTCCCTAATTTCTTTCAAAGATGGAATAGCAGCTAGAGACTCAATGAACTGGCTTGGCACCTTTTTGTTGAAGATTCCATTCAAGGCATCAGTGCCATGATAGGAGAATGGTTCGCTTCCTAAAATGTTTTGAAAGCAATGGACAACTTCATCTTTTTATGCCACTTGGAGATTCCATTGATCCACCATCAATAAAGTTGAGTTTAACAATCTTCTTCCTATTGCATCTAGTGTTGAATGTCTTCACGAAGAAATTTGAGTTTTGATCCCCCTCTTTAAGCCATTTGACTCTGGACTTCTGAAGGTAAAACTGCTCCTCAGCAATGGATATGTTATGAAACCCCTGCAGTAACTCATTTTCCTTTCTCCTAAGGTGCTCATTACCAGGGTCATTATCAAGAGCCATTTGGCAAGTACTAAGAGCATCTTTAGCCTTAACTACTCTCTAAGACACATCACTAAAATCCTTCTTGTTTAGTAACTTCAATTTATGTTTGAGTAACTTAAGCTTCTTCGTCACCAAATACATAGAAGTGCTAGGAATCTGAGTTTGCTATACAGAAACCACAGTGGTTAGAAAATCTTTGTGATTGCCATGAAGTTAAAAAATTTAAATGGAATATTCTTTTTTGGATTGGGGATTCCACTACTGATAGTCATTGGGGAGTGGTCTAAAACCCCAAAAGGAAGAAACTCACAGTTGGAAGTAGGAAGACCAGACAACCATTTATCACTGACCAAAACCTTATCCAACTTTCTAGAAATGTTGGCTGTTCCATAGCTCATATTGGACCATAAGTACTAAACCCCCGTATATCTTAAATCAGTGAATTCACAGTCCAAAATACAATTGTTGATGTCATCCATATCTGCATTCCACTTTTGGGACCCCCCCAAAATTATCATTGGGGTGTCTTATGATATTGAAATCACCTAATAAAGCCCACGGAGACGGAGAAAAAGATGAACGATAGTACTCTTTAACTTGCCTATAAGGAGTTACCATAATGATCAAAACTCTAAAATAAAAACACAATGTGATACAATTTCCTCTAATAATTTTAACCTTCTAAAACGAAAAAGGAAACTAATTTTATGCACACAAATTTTGAGCCACAAACCCAACAATCTCCACCTTGGCTCAAAATTATATCTTCACGTTCTTATTCATAACTCAACCTCGAACAAGGATCTCTTCATACCTTCACCTCAAATAAAGCACTATGATGAACTTGAAAAACAATTTAACAAGGTGGTGGGCATGTTAGAAGGTGGTGGAAAGCGATGGTGGTGGTGGAAGGCAATTGCGGCGGCGATGGTGGTGGAAAGCGGTTACGAAGGCGGCGGAAGGCAGTGGTGGCGGTGAAAGGTGATTGCGGAAGGTGGTAGTGGTGGCAGTGGAAGACAGTGGCGGTGGCGGTGAAAGGTGGTTGTGGAAAACGGTGGTTGAATGTGGTAGTAGTGGTGAAAGATGGTGGCGGTGGTGGCAGTGGTGGTGGAAGGTAATGGCTATGGTGAAAGACAGTGGTGGCGGAAGGTGGTGGCGGTGGTGAAAGGTGATGGTGGCGTTGGTGGTGGTGTTGAAAGGCAATAGCGGTGGTGGTGGTTGCAACAAAGGAAAGCGGTGTCGGTGGTAAAAGTCGTTGGCAGTTGTGGTGATGGAAAGCGACGTGCAATGGTGAAAGTCGGTGGCGATGGTGGCGGTATGATAAGCGCCGAATATTATATATTCAAGCGCCCTAAATTGTATTAGTTACGTCCATTATTTGATTTTGCTATGTAGATTATCTTCATTTGTGCATTTTTGTTTATTTTTAGGTTCATTGGCTTAAAAGAAGCAAGAATGATATTTTGTTGAAATTTGGGATAAGAGAGGCACAATGCCGAAGCTTGGCAGCAGTGGAACCTGACTTTTGTTGCCATTTTCGAC